TATATATATATATATATATTTATATATTTATATATTTATATATTTTATCTTACAATGGATTGATGCATTCAATATGAATCATTTACTATATTAATTTTAATTTTCTGCTCCTTATATATCCCAAAATTTAATAATCTAATTAAATTTTCAATAAAGATAAACAAAAATTAACACAAGTTTTGATTTTGCAGAAAAAATATGAATATGCAATATTATCAAACTTATTTAGCTATATGAAAAAAAATAATAAAGAAAAAAAAGCAAAAACTTTATGCAAAAATTTGTGCATATTTACTATCATTAAATCTAAAATCATGATTCAAAAAATATCATGCATGCTAAAATATTAATTATAATGTTAAATAATTGTTTTTAAAAGAGAGCAATGTGAAACTAATAATTGAATACTCAATATTATGAATTAAGAGTTGTGCATATATGCTATTATTTATGCATACATATATGCTATTATTTCTCTAAAAATTTTATAAGAAATGTGATATTTATTATACATATTACTATTTAGAATGCAACTTATTTAAAAATAAAACATTTTCCATTTAATATCGTACATGTGTATATGTTATGTATGTGCGCATATGCAGGCATATATATGTATACAGGAAAGTGTTCCATAAGTTGAGATCAATTGCTAGATAGATGATTAAAAATCCAAACACAAAAAAAAGTTGATATAAACATAGATCTAGAAATGCATCAGATCTAGAATGCATCATTTTATGCATCATGTTATTTTTATTTCATATTGCTTTGCTTTCAAATTTTTTTATCAAAATTGAAAGAAGAGATCTTCATAAGTTTTACAACATAAAGTTAAATAAAAGTTATGAGCTGTTTTAGCATTACATAGAATATACCACATGGAGGTACAATCTGCTTAGCATCTTGACAAAAATCAGGATCTTACAATTGCATTCTGAATAGCGCTAAAGCAGCTTGCAACTTTTATTTGATATTAATTATATTATGAAACTTATAAAGATTATTTCTTTTTACAATTTTGACAACAAAATTTGAAAGCAAAATAAGTTGAAATTGAAACATAAAAATGGTGATAACTTGGAAAAAATGCATTTCCAGATTTATGTTCATATATTTACAATTTTTCTGAAATCTTGTTTCTGAATTCCCAATCACATCCCGAGCAATAGACCTCCACTTTTGAAATCTTGTATATATGTACATATGTATGTATATATGTATGTATATATGTATATATGTATGTATATATATATATATAT